AAAGTTCACCAAAAACGCTTAAAAAGCGAAAGTTTACTTTTGATTTGGCCCACTTTAAACTTTCTTTTCTTGTGTTTCGAAACAACGAAAAACACTTCAAATAGTTTGACAAACAAAAGCAGATACACGACCGCGCAATCCAATAAAATTGAAGTAAACAAACAAAATTGAACAAAATTATGAATAGTTTAAAAATTACATTACGTCGACTCCCTCGCCGCTAAGGCAATGAAAACTTTGATGTCAAATACTATGACAAGTAAACGTCAAAGAAGAAGAAAAATATTAGAAATTAAATGGTGGATGATTATTATAAGAGCAGATGAAAATGATTGGATTGTAGTTAATTAAGAAAATTGGTTAGGGACGAGAAGAATTGGATGATGGTTTACGAAGGAAGTAAATTCAAAAATTTAAAAAAAAACTTTTTAAAATTTAAGAAAGTATATCTTTGATATCAAAATAATTAGTATTATCTGTATAGTAGTTGTTAATATTCAGATAAAATTTAGTCCATAGTGAGAAGATCAATTACAATTTAGTAGCCATTATTTTTGATTCCTATAAATGTATTTTAAATAAGAGTGATAATTAGCGCTTAAGTAAAAAATAATCGTATAAATAGATAGTCGCATAATTATAACAGTTATTTTAGCATAATTGACAATTATTTTGTATATATTTTTTGTCGAAATAGTCATATTTTCTTGCAAAATAAATAGACAAACAATGATTTTAATAGATCACTTAACTCTTGGGAGTATAAAATAAACGACGATGACCGCGACTTTACCGTTGGGTTTTTATAAAGACAAATCTTTTCATCAACTTTTATTTTATATATATATAAAATAAAAATTTAAAATATTGATCCATTTTATAATTCTTATATTGTAGTACTGTATTTAAACTCGATCACCCAGTAAAATAATTTTGTTGTTTCAGTCAGATTTTTTACCTTAATCTCAGGTCATAATATTCTTACTCAACGCATCATGTTGGTTCAACCATACCACTTGTTGGTTTTCATATCTTCTTCATTTGGTAAACATGGATTAAAATTTCTCTAACAATATGATCAGACCAATTTAACTAGTAAATGGTTAGAGCACAATTTTCTGAGAGTATACACATATATGACTCTCAAAGGCTTTATCGCCTTAATGGACCATTTTTTTCCTGAAAACATCACACAAGTCTATAAATTGCGTTTTGAATGGCAGCTATATTTTATAGTATTTTATAGTATCTGATTTTGATAGTATGATTGATTTCCATATAGTCCAGATTTTACAAAAAATCTATATTAAATTAAAATCTCTATAATACATAAACATTTCTGATATTTAGTGAATATGCTTACCAAATATTATTGGTTGATTTTAAATAACAGAAGAGAATTTAATTTAATGAGTTCAATTGTAAGTTTGACACAAAAAGTATGTTTAAAACTCTGATTTTAAAAATAAACTTCAGTTATTAGAATCCTTGTTTCCTGTGGTAATCTATTAATTAATAATAGCAGTTTAATTAACATTGGTTAAATAGAATTAATTTTCGTACATTAGTTAAATTTTATTCATATTTAGTTAGCTAATTTCTACTACAATTAAATCAACTACTATTTTTCAGTTGTATATCTATCTCTACTTCAACTATATATTCAGTCGCTTTCCACGAATAGAAAAATACTCCTAGTTTTTGAAACAGGGATTAGTGTAATATTTAAATATGGATTTTCTTCTATATTTTTAATAACAGTATACACCCCGAAAAATATGCTCTAACCACATACTAGTCAAATTGAGCTGATCATTTTGTTTGAGAAATTTTAGCTCATTTAGTAAAGAAGATATGGAATGGTTTAACCCACATGATGCGTCGAGAAAGAAAAGACCTAAGATTTAGTTAAAATTTAGTTAAATCAATCAAAGTATTTTTTTAACTGTAGTAATATTTTCATTTGCATTCAAGTTTATATGATGTCTAAGTCTTATATATATATTTCAGATGCAAGTTCTACAAAATAACCCCTTTTGTAGAAACTTTTCAAAATTTTTACACATATAGTAGGTATTAAACGATCGAAATGCAAGGACTCACTGTAAGCCTTATGTGATACCTTAAGCTCTTCAGCACAAGAGATTCCATACGTAATACAGAATTTCAGTCAGATACTTTATTGGACACTTTTATCAATATCAGAAATTGTAGAACACAGTTGAAATGATTTGGCAAAATGTAATAAGAAGTTGAAGTAGTAATCTACTACTTAAAGGAACGTAACTCCTTCAATTTCGAGATTAGTTTTGGGATATTCAATTATTACTTAATCTAAAACATTGAAAAACATATATTAAGTCAATGTGAATGGCGTTAAAGTACCAGTATAGCCAAATTGAAGCTGTTAAGTTGCATTTTTATTTATTCAACTAAATTTTGGGCGAAGGTCAAAAGAACATAGGTCGACTTCTTGTCTCTAATTCTGCAATGCACTTTTCTCATTGAATTGAATTGTTTTGTTTTTAATTTTTATGCTCAAAATAATAGAATTTTACCAAATAATTAATTTTTATGTCCAAATATTTAGAACTCAATTATTTTTACTTATGGTATATTAATAATATTTAATTTCTTCATTATATAGCACTTTCGCGGTCAAAAGCTCATAATAAAATTTTTTAAATAAAAGAAATTAATATTATATCATCAATCCGTTGTTATTTTAGCAATAAATAATTTTTTTTTATTTTTTTTATAAATAAATTGTTTGTAAGCAAAAATTTCGTGTGAAGTAAACGAACTTTTGTCCGCATTATTCTTGCGAATTCAGCGGCGAAGCGACTATGCAGAATATTGAGCGTTTATGGAACGCGTGAATAGGTCTTCCTGCCGCGGTCATCAAATGTCACTAATGTTTACAGTGTAAAAAATAGTTCGGTGGTGCAATATAAACTCTGAAAATGTGGGGTTTCAGTTGAATTCTGTTGAACTTGAACATGAAAATGGCGCGTGTTTTTATGAGACTTTATTATTATTTTGATCTTTTTTCTTACTGTATTCTTCTTTTAATAATTTTGTATACTATTTCCAGCAAATTTTTTGAATTAGTCATACCCATGATATAGCCAGAAGCTTATAGAATAGATCATTCTGCTTATGGTGACTAATTTATTAATTTTTGGAATAGATAATTTTGATTATAAATTGAAATGATTTAAATTTAAAAGCAAACATCATCATACTAACATGCATTGCTTGGATCGTAAAATTTATTGAAATTTTTATAATTAAATAAAAAATGATTTAACAATTAAGTTTTTAATTTATTTAAAATAAATAATTTTAAAAACGATAACATGTATATACATTTTTTACAGTTTACAGTTCATATTTTTTTTACATAAAAAATAAAAATGTTTTTAAATACATATATGTATTATGGGTATTCTAATCAAATAGTATATAACTGAATTTAATATGTTAATACTCAAATAGATGATTTTTTCTTAATATTAATTTCATCTACAGAGTTGATCTGACGATTAACCATTGCTCAGAACATTCAATATTCAATTTAATTCATCATTTAAGTCTTGCAATTTAAGTATTCATAGAGTCTACAGTCGTTGTCTAAAAAAGAATCTAGTGGAGTTATATTCGGTTATATTGAAAGCATTGTGTTTGAAAAGGAATCAGAAAGATCTTATTTGGTAAAAAAATAATAGTGGATAATGCTAAAATCTTATATTGGATCGAATACATCCCATCGTCAAGACAAAATAAGCAACTGTACTAAAGTGAGGCCTTGCACTTAAGGCAGTTTTTATTTAGTCAAAAAAACTAGTAATAATATTTTTTTTTTAAATTATTTTTAAGTATTAATGTACTATTACTAATAATTTATTAATAATTGTAATAAATAAATATATATTTTCATAATATTTATCAACCACAGTCATATATCTGTTGAGCATAACTCTCATATCGTCCCTTTCTATAATCTCCGTCTCTAATGTCGCTGTCACAGGTCATACTGATAGACGGTGAGACCCCACTAAGAACCTCATCGCCGACTATGATTGATCAACAAAACCTCAATTTAGCAGATCAACAAGCTCATGTATATCTCAATCACAACTTAACTCATCACAAGCTGTTGGATGTGCCACCTTCTAGCATGTTAAACTTAAAAACTCTCCACCAACTTAATGTGCTCTACTATAAGTTTAAATTTCGTTGCTCTAAGTAATTTATGCGTCCATTTCTTACATACGCCTACCTTTTCTCGTCTTCAAATAGTTCTGCGATTTGAAAATGAAGAAAATCTGTTTGTTTAAACATAAAGTCTTAAAGGACTACGTAAATTAAAGGCGCAAGCGGAACATAAAGTGCTATTCCAATTCTATTATGTCAAGGCTAAAACTGCTTGTATTTGTTGATTACTATTTTTACTAGCCCGAATTTAAAACCCCTCTCTTAACATTCATCGCACCATCATTGTTCCTCTGGATATGATCTCAGCTATAAGATACTCCTCCTGTTAGGAGAAAGGGAGGTACCTCCCCCTCACCGTTCTAACCGTAGAATTGTTTTGGACAATAAGTAATAGCAAACATCAGTACTTTTTACACCCATATATTCTGCTGAAAAATTAAGCTCTAAAAATGATGTGTACTTACAAAACGTTTTATAAATAGTATATAATATATCAAAGATGATACACATTTTTATTTAAACAATCCAATGAGTCAGTGATATAACTTTACTACAATTTTGCAAATTTGAAACTGATAACATCAGTTTTATTCAGTAATGAAATTTTTATATTTGAAGCTTATGGAAATATTAATATAAATGAAAAAGGAAATTGAACTATTTACATGCATGAATTAATTTTAATCGTTAATATTTCATAAACTTTTGCAAAACAAATTTAAAAAATGCTTAAAAGCAAGTAAAATATGAAATTTTTATTAAAACACTATAACCACCGAGCAACTGTGGAACATGGAACGATTTTCGGTTATATTTTTATTAACTTTTTGGCTATTTGCAGCAGAACAAGTCAAGGCAGTAAACATAAAAAATGTCCTAATAATACATATAGTTAATATAAATTTTATTATTATTTCAGTGTGATACAAATGAAAAAGATCAGGGACGCATTTATGTTGGCTGTGCAATAGTTGCGAATCTGCCAAAAGAGGGATGGGAGACACACAAAGCCCGTAACTTTACGAATCCTACTAAGGAATTCAAATGCTTCTTACATTGTACATTTGAGAGTTTGAGTTTTTCCAAAAATAGTGTCATACAAACTGACGATACAATGCTGGAAATAATAAATAAAGATAAAACCCTTTGGCCCGAAATGCGAGAAGTTCTAAAAAGTTGTGGAGACAAAAATAAATTGGATAATCGTTGTGAAAATACTTATAATCTATTTATGTGCTTGAAACAGCATCCAAAATTATTTCCATGGTAAAATTTATAGATTATAGATAATGAAAACAAATATAAGAATTGTATGAGTTTATCGTAATTTAAAAGCAATTAAATGTTAAATATAATTTTTTGAAGATTTCTAGTTCAGAACAAAATTTAATTTAATTAAATATATATCAGCATTATCATTATCATTAGCATTAGCATTATATATCAGCATTAGTTTCTATTTTCATTACTTAATACTTTTATTCTTTGAACCATAATTCATCCCACATATTATATGTATGTAGGATGAAAAACAATTTTTACAGAATATAATATCTTTATTAACCTCATTAATCTTTAAAATCTCTTTGCCATTAAAAGATCTTAGAAACAAGTACGTGCAAGGATATAGTAAAAAACGGTGAGATCTTTTATTATTATCTATGCCCAGACTTTCCCAGAGTTATGGGATAGCAGGCACCACAAAGCTTTGAAGGAAATTTGAAAGGAAAGTAATAACCAAAGTGATGATATTAATAGCTCAACTATCTATTGAAATGGCGTCGTTATTATCTTTCAGTGAAACAGAAATGGTTCGCATATAAAACTTCTTAAAAAGCTATAGTAGAGTTTACACTATTTTACCCTGTTCTTGTATTGATCACAAAACCGGTATATGATTTTAAATATCACAAACTGTGTGATTGAATGAATAGTTATAAAAAATTGAGTAAAGGGTTATCAATTCTGTTGTCTTGGTTTCACAGTCAGAGATGTCATTCAATTTAGAGTTTATTAATTTAACAACAATTGAGCTTGTTAGAATTGAAAAACCTACTACAAATCGATTACAATTTTTCGTAACAAATTTTGTTATGTGAACACACTCATTTTTAACTTGAAAGATATTGGAAGATATGCAATATATTGTTACTGGACATATATGATTTCAACAGGATGCTGACAAATGTCACACAACACCTCATATTTTGACTTTGTTGTACAAGAATATTCTCAGGCAAATCATCTCACCGGATAGTTTTATGAATTGGCCCATAAAGTCGTGCAATTCGTTATCACTGTCTGTGGGGTTACGTACAGGTCATGTCTATGCGTACAATTTAGAAACTATCTATGCTTTGAAATAATGTCGATCATATCTGCCCAAAAGTAGTTTCATAATTTTTTAGCTGGGATATTCCTTGCACCATTTATTGTGCAAGGAATAATTTTAATTCTATTACACAAAACCCAGAATTTTAACATCATTTAATTATCAAATACATCCGTTTTATTTACATTATCACTTTTTTAGGAAGCAATGTCTCAAATTTCTTTCTTTCCCCCGTCACTTCAAGGAATTCAGTTATGATGATAAATTAAGATTAGAGATTATTGATTAGAATTCATTGAAAAGATCTTATATTATCTTATATGTAGGATTCATATGTCTTCCTATGAAATAGTAAGCAATCTTTATTATTTAACAATAATAAAGAAGTTTGCGTAAAAAATACATTGAAGAAAAGAGTAGACATATAATCTTAGAGAAATAAATATGCAACTGCCGTGCTTAGAACCCTAGTGAATAAAAATGATGCGGTGTTATCATCATTTGTTAATTCAATGATTAAGTAACAGTAATTCGGACAATTCGGACATTTTAGGCATAAATAATAAAATATACATTCTCCGAATCGTTGGAAAATAAATAAATTAAAACTATTTAATCAAAAATTTTTTAAGTGACTTTTAACTTAAATCGAAAAACAAAATATATATCGTAATTAATTGTTAGCATCTGCAGATAAAATGGGAATGTTCTGAAAGTTGTCTCAAAGCACCCAGCTTCGTAAACTTATCTACTTTGTAAAAACCAATAATCCGCGTATTAAAAGAAGGAGAAAAAGAATGAAGAAGATATAACAACTTGTCTAGTGTCTATCTACACATTTAGAGATATCTAGACAAAAATCTACTAATGCCTAACAACTTAGCACGATTTTTACATAAAACAGTGGACTTAAAGACCTTAAAGCGAATAAATTATCCAATTAAATTACTATCTTCTTAAATGTTTGATGAGTTTCTTTCTGGATTGTGGAATATCACTACATATACGTCTCTGATTGCTCATCTTTGATCAATATAAATATAGATCAACTATGTAGGTACATCATAAAATTCCTTTTTGGAACGATACTATCTATTTGGATGCTTCCATGAATTATTATAGATACTAAATTTGTTTTCAAAACTTGTTTGAAATTTAATGTCTTGTTTGAAATTTATTTTCTTTTAAAAATACATTTATTTTTTTATTATTAAAAATTTTCACAAATTTGAACGTTGCTATCAATTATTTATTAAGCAATGAACATATACAATCGTACTGTATTTATTTATGAGATATTGCATTAACACTATTATTGGACGACGTGATTATGAATTAAAAGTTAGGGTATGTTCTAATAATGAGAAATATAATAATAATAAATCTTAATCTTGTGGTATTTAGCTAATATAAGAAAGAGCATTAATAAATAATACCCAAATTAAATATTAGTTGCTCTTGCCTAGGTCTGCGGCTAGAAATTGACTCCGAGTGAGTTTTTATAATAAATAATACCTAAATTATATACAAGTTGCTTTTGCCTAGGCCTGTGGCTAGACTTGAGCTTTTATAATGAGTTAATAATGAATATACTTATGTTTTAATAAAATTAACCGATTTCCTTGGTTTAAGGAACTGAATTTTGTACTCTATCTGCATTGGTTTTGTGCCTGATCCTGACTATTACTTTTTTAACCTGAGGCCATTATTACAAACTGATCATTACAAACTCTTAATAAGGCTATAGGTTAAATATTTGTTTAGTTTTATGATAGTTAATAAAATGAGCTTTTTAATTAATTTTGAAAGATTTTTATTTACTTTATCAAACTTTAGATTTCATTTTCACAAATATAATAATATAACATTTTTGTAGAAATTTTATACTATTATTTAAATAGTAATAAAAAAATATTATTGATACCCAAAAATCGATATAATAATCTTATATAAAAAAAACTTGTACACATCCTCAAAATATGAGTATAGACGAATATAAAACTTAAGTCGCTTATAATTCTAAAATATTTAATTTCATTGTAATCAAATCATTTCGCTTATTTTATTTTTTTATTTTTTTAACCTTTAAAATTCTTCTGCTGCATAACAAAACAAAAAAGTTTTAAGTACTTTTCTACAAACAAATCATAACAAATAAAATTATAAACAAAAATACTTTTAATGAGGACATGCAATAAACGATAACCAAATAAACAATTTCTGAAGAATTGCACAAATTTTTATACATAACTTTTCGGTTCCTAATAAAAACAAAAAAAACAAAAAAAAACAAAAAAAATAAAAATATCAGATTACATTATGTCAGTAAAAAAACGCTGAAGAGAGAAGCGTTTTCAAACTAAACCAAGTCAACATACCGCAGTCCATCACGTTCAATGACATGGACGCGCACTCACCAAAGGCATGACCACAGCCAGTCCGCAAAGTGCATAGGAAGCACTTTTGGATTGTGAAACAAAAGGTTTAAAGCGATTTTAAAGCCGTCAAAAATAACATAAAAATATGTTTTCATAAACCGTGAGATACACATTTACTACTTTAGGTTATTGTTAGATTCAAAAATTCTACAAAATGATGAGATACTCATACGTAATTTGTCCTAAAAAGTGTTTGACCTAATTTTTAATTTTTTTATGGCTTTGAAGTGAGTATAGTGAGTAAGTGAGTTCAAAATGTGAACTTTATTGCGATAAATCATCATTTAGTATTTATTTTAAAAGTTTACTAATTTTAAATAATATGTTTTAGTATTTTTCTACTTAAAGCCTTAGCAGTTAGTGAAAGGTCTGTACGTAGAAAGTTCAGTTTTGTCAAATAAATATTGGAATCGTACGTACTAACAATGAAAGCAACAATGAGATACACATAAAGATGTCATTAGTAGGTGCTCGTTCATCCATAAATATGTACATAAAAATTAACATAAATGTATCTTAAACAAAAGGAAAAACTTTAAGCAAATATTATAATATACATATATATATATATATTATACGATATATTATTTTATTAACAGTATCCACAGCAATCATTAGAATTTTAACTAAATAATGTACCGAAATAGTCAACAGTACAATTATAGAATAAAAATCCTCTAATACATACACTAATATTTTCATTATTTTTTTCTTTCTCGAAAATTGATTTTTGAGTTCCGCTGTAGATATTTTATAATACACTTCAAAGGGCTTCTGATGAAAATCCTTATCATCTATAATATTAATCTCTTTATACATACATGTTATAAAGCATTTAAAAGATTTATTAGAAGAGCTGTCTTCTCATTTCACATCTAACTTTACCAGATCACCCAGCTCAAAATCTGATTCATTCGCACAGTCAAGAAACATTTGTTGAGCTTCATTTTGAGCTGCAGTCTTCAAAATATTATACACTAAAAATTGTTTAATTTAGATTTATTAAATTTAATTCATAATTACCAATTGAAATAATAATGCATCTAAGAAGAAATAAAAAATATATATTATACCAGAAAACATTTTAGACTTCAAATAACATTACCTATTTGGCATTAACTGACAACTTAAAAAGTTGATCATATAAATATTTTAACTTGACTTGCCCGCTGAAACATTCATTTTAATTGAATATTAAATTTGTTTTTTAATAATTATTTATTTGTATTAATTGAAATTATTAATTGCTTAAATATTAAAAACAAAAATAATCATTTAGTGATATAAATTCCACATCCGATAAGACTGCTTCCATAAAAATTCTTAGCACAGTGACATCTATGAGTGAGTGGTAGCCGATGAAAGCTCACAAAATATCCACTTACTATCAAGTGATATAGATTTTGTCCCAAATCTGATGAGACTTAGTGGTGTCTGTGATTAAAATCCGATTTTACGCGGAAAGAATGATTGTATTTATTTACTTACATTTGGCATGGA